GAAAAATGGCAAACAAAAAAACCCACAAACCTCCAAAATGAAATTAAAAATTGACCCCATTCAGTAGAATGACAGTGATAATATCCTTCTTAGTGCAAAAAATTACCTGTGCTGTTCTATAACCTGAAAAATGGAAATCTATACATTATACATACATTATACATATATTATACATACATACATACATAATTTGCATAATATCTAGGTTTTATATATGTAGTCTATTTCCATAGAATATATGGTGAACTCACAAGCAATAACTCATTTTCCCAGAAGGTAATGCTGAGATTTCATAATTCCAAGAATGCAGTAAAGGATTTACTATATTTTACACATCTCTTAAAATTAAATATTTTCCAGTATTAGAATGTTTTAATACTATTAAGTTTACTAATAAAGTGATCATCTATCACTTTTGCTGTAGAAGTGGTAAACATCTTAATAAGTAGCACTTTATGCTCTTAATTTGACACAACATGGCAAGTGATAGCAAATATGTCAGATTTGGTCTTATGAGAAACAAAAAGATTTTGTGCCTCTGTATAGACACACTAGACCAAGTGGTATATTTATCAGGTTATACTGGGTGGAAACTATAGTTCAGCATAGATGCCTGGCAGCAGGCTGGCAAAGGCTGATGTCAACTAAGGCCAAAATTATCAATGCAATTAACCCAAAACATTGGATGTTTTAACAAGAGCCATTTTAGAGAAAGCAAGATGTAAATTATATTACAAAATGTGTACAGTAATTTGAATCATTTGACATCAGCAGTATTTTTATGGTATTAGTGACCTCATCACAAACAGGGTCTACCCGTTTCCTTTATAATTCAACTTCCAGCTGGTTTCCTCCTCTCAGCATATACTTTTGCATCATCTGCAAAATAAGGAGAAAATAAGGACATCTTTTCATCTAAAAATCTTGCTTCAAATTCTTAAGATTTTTTATTCCAAACTTCCTCTGAATTGCTGGTCTTCAGCTTCCTTTAACTTCAAGGTTGTATTTTCTTTTTGAGTGACTGGAAATTTGACCACAGAGCTGTAAATCTGGGAATGTAATGTATCATGAGATCAATTGTGGAGACCCTGCCCTCTGCTTGAGTTCCTGTTCATAGAAGGAATAGCCAACTATAAAGCAACTAGGGGGGGGGGGAGGAATGTGTTCCTCAGCAAGAAGCTTAACTATCTCCAGATCAATAGAAAAGTTGAAAAGCTTTGTTTGGTTAAAGAATAGCCATCTCCCTATTTTTCAAGTCATCTCCTGCACTGCAGTCTCTAGACTCCAAAAGAAATCTGACAATATGCTAATCTGATAATAAAAGTGACTTCTGATCTGTTATCTGTTCAGCTGACAGTGAAGTACAGAGATGGTTGTCTAGCCAGACAAAATGATAGAGAAAATATGCTTTCAAACAAGGGCATAAATCTCAGATGGCACAGATGAACTATTAAAATGGAATAGTTATAGTACCAATACTATGCACTAGCCTCATTTTACCTCTATTCCTCCATCTTTTCCTTTCACAGATGCATGAACGAGGATGTACCCTGTCAAGCTAATAACATAGAGTTAAGAGGGTGGCAATATCTCTTCTACCTAGATCAGAGTTTCCATCACAAGGGAGGGGGCATAAAAAAAATGGCTAGTATGAATCTAGGAGCATATTGTACAGGCACCAAAGTTTGCATATTGCACTTGGTGCCTGAAGATCATAAATCTATGCATGAGAAAGATGTAGTGGAAATTTTTTGGGGGGGATTAGAGTTTATTTTTGTCATCTCTGTGAGACAGCTACTCATTCATCCAGATCACAGCTAAGAAAAAAAGCTGGTCACAGAAATTAGCAGTTTCAGCTCAGCAGCAAAGTCGCCAGCCTGTGAAGGCAGAGAGAAATTGACTAATTAGCAATGCGCACTAAAACTTGACGGTTCTTTATAGAGAGAGAGAGAGACGAGAGAGGCAGAGGAAGGGAAGGGGGGTCGCTTTCTCCCCTTCTTTCTTCCAAAGATGTTTGAAATCGCAGTCATTTACGCTCGACAATTTTTACAATAGCCTTGAGCCATAATTTTGCGAGTCTCTCCAGCATCCATCCCCCTGTATGGTCTCTCTCCACTGGCCATGCACGACCGTTTCTCTCCCCAACCGTGGATTTCCTATTACTCTCGTTACGACTCACTGAGCCCCAGGCCCAAGGATAATGATGTGTTGTTTCTTGGTAGCATAATTTGTCACACGTACATTTTTTCTTCTTCTTCTCTTGCAGAAAGCTCTGCGCGCTCTCTCTTTCTCTCTCCCCTTCTCCCTCTCGTACATTTTCTTGCTGTTGCTAATTCATGGTGATCAAATGATGTACGACAAAATAAATTGTAAAGAGTGACTGCTTGGAATTGGGAACAAGAAGGTTTTTGTTTTTGTTTTGAAGGAGCAATCAAACCTTTAAAAAGGAAGGACAATTGATTTTTTTGGGGGGGAGCTTAAGTGAACCTTTACTTTGGCAGCTGGTTGTGAAGCAGGTAAGTTTCTGGCCTTCGGTCTAACCGCCTTGGCTGTATTTTCTTGTGGCTTGTTTATTGTCGTGAAGACGATGTATGCGTGTGTGTGTGTGTATGCGCGCGATTTCTGTGGACGAGAAGTACGGAGGGGGCACTTGTATTACACACACGTCTTTGGAGAATAAACTCGAATTGTAAGAAATGGCCAGAGGAGGAAAAAAGGGGAGGGAGAATGGGAGGTGTGTATATGTGGATGGAGGAGAGGAATGACCAGATCCACTTAAAGGGAGAGGCTCTTGGAGGTTTCTTAAAACCTGACTGCTGGGAGGGAAGGAAAGTAGCCGGGGAAGGGGACTCCCCCGGTCTTAGGAGAAAGCGCGGAGCGCAAGCACTGCCGAAAAAAAGGGGGACGGTACAATGGAAGTAGCAGTCCTCGCTGGAATCCTGCAGAGGAGAGGCGGCGGCGGCGGCACTTGCTGTGCTGTGGGGGACTCCGCTCTCTCCGAGGCGGGCTAAAGCCACCGCGGGTCCCTTTCCCCTCGCCACTAGCAGGTGCAACTGGCAGCAGGTCTTTAAGGCTCGTCTTTTTCATTCCCCGCCGCCTTCGCCCTCAGAGTCCCGCGACTTTGGCAGGGGCGCTCTGGCTTCCGCTTTCTCGCGGCGCAGGGACACTTTCCCGCCTGTATTTTCCTCCTCCTTTTTTCCCAGTAGCTCCCAGGCCCTCCGAGCTCGTCCCCCCCCCCCCCGAACTTCCCAGAGTTGCCCGAGTTAAAGCCCCGCCGCTTCTCACCCCGAGGAAACCAAGCCCGTACAAAATTAGCACCGGAGGCAGAGGCGACTGGCCCGCCCCTCGCCCCTTGCCCAGTGTAATGCAGCACGCGCGAGAAGGTCTGGCCAAGAGTTCGGTGCACGCGGCTGCGCTCCCCCTCGCTCGGCACCGAAGAACCTTCCCCTCCCTCTTTTCACGTACTGCTTCGAGGCGAAGCGTCTCTCGCTCTGCAGAAACAGTGGCTTGCAAAGGCGGGAAAGGCGCAGTTTGGGGGGAAAGGGGAGGGGCATCCGAAGGGGGCAGCTCAGTCAGCTTGGCTCAAGTGATGGCCTGGCTCTGGACTTTGGAAGGACGGGGTGGCTTCTTTTTCCTTTCCTTTCCGTTGGGTCATTGGGTAACCGTTCTGCGAGCTTTCACAGCTTACGGAACAACAACCCCAAACTCTCCTCTCTCTCTCTCTCTCCCTCCCCGCCCACCTTCCGCCTTTCCCCTTGCAAGGGAAATGCCCCATTGCAAATTAGACAGCAGCCTGCTCGCAAGTGGCGCGCGCGTCTCGGTTTCTAGGCGGAAAGAAAGTAGTTGCCCGCAACCCCCCACCCACTTTGGGGAGGGAACCCGTCTCGCCTGCCGATGAAGGACGAAGCCCCTTGGCGGGGGGTGCAGAAAATGTCATGCAGCCCGAAGGCTGCCGCGATGGGGGGAAGGGGACGGCTGGATAGGAAGCCTCTCGGCTTTTGCAAGTCGGATGGGCAAGCCAGGCCTGTAAAGCTCCATGTTTATTACTCTGTGTGCCCCCTCCCAACCACTCATTTCTCCTTATTCCCCCATCCCCGCCTTGCCCCTCTTTGCCCAGGTCGGAGGTGGGTTTCCAGTCAGGTGCGCTGAGGCTGCTCGCCATGTCACGGTCCGGGGACAGGACGTCTACCTTCGACCCCAGCCATAGCGACAATCTGCTTCACGGCCTCAACCTGCTGTGGAGGAAGCAGCTCTTTTGCGACGTGACCCTGACGGCCCAAGGCCAACAGTTCCATTGCCACAAGGCCGTGCTGGCCTCCTGCTCCCAGTACTTCCGATCGCTCTTCTCCAGCACCGCCGGTGGAGGAGGTGGGGGAGGCGGAGGCGGCGGCGGCGGGGGGAGCGGGCTTAATCACCCCTTGGGCGTTGGACCGGGAGTTCAGGACGGCCTGCTTCCGAAGGAGCAGCAGCAGGAGGAGCCCGGCACGCCCTCCTCCTCACCGGAGGACAAGCTGTTGGCCAGCCCTAGGGCCATCAACAACCTGGTGTTGCAAGGCTGCTCGTCGATCGGACTGCGACTGGTGCTCGAGTACCTGTATACAGCCAACGTGACCCTCTCCCTGGATACGGTGGAGGAGGTGTTGTCGGTCAGCAAGATCCTGCACATCCCGCAGGTCACCAAGCTGTGCGTTCAGTTCCTCAACGACCAGATTTCCGTGCAGAACTACAAGCAAGTGTGCAAGATCGCAGCCTTGCACGGCCTCGAAGAGACCAAGAAACTGGCCAACAAGTACCTTGTGGAGGACGTGCTGCTGCTCAACTTCGAGGAGATGCGCGCCCTGCTAGACTCGTTGCCTCCCCCGGTAGAATCGGAGCTGGCGCTCTTCCAGATGTCCGTTCTGTGGCTGGAGCACGATCGGGAGACCCGCATGCAGTACGCCCCGGACCTCATGAAGCGCCTACGCTTTGCCCTTATCCCGGCTCCGGAGCTTGTCGAGCGGGTCCAGTCGGTGGATTTCATGCGTACGGACCCAGTCTGCCAGAAGCTACTTCTGGACGCCATGAACTACCACCTGATGCCTTTCAGGCAGCACTGCAGACAAAGTCTGGCCAGCAGGTAAAAAAGAAAGGGGGAGGCGGCGGAATTCAGCAGAAACCTAGTATTTCACAGGACATTAACTAAGTATATATGAAACATAAAGTTCAAAAGTTGACTTCAGCTGTAAGCAGTTAAGGGAGTGCCTGAAAGGGACTTGCTGAGTAGAGTTAAGGGTGGGGTGTATGTACCTCCCATAGGTATTGTAGGAAAATAGAAAACAGCCAAAAATACATTCTGGCAACAATAAGAGATATATAATAACTTAAGTAACAAAAAGAAACAACAGGGCAATTGTTACTTCATTGCCTTTGAAAATTGTAAGTTGTTATTTGGTGAGTTTGATGATTGAAAGTTTTCAGGATTGGATCAGAATCTACTATTTTTGACAATAGGCTTATCCTTAATGCAACACTTTTAGAAAGAAGTTTCTGAAGAACAACCAAAACGATTACCAATGCATTCCTATCTCCCTTTTTCTGGAAGAGGTGCTGTTTGGGTATTGGAAAAAAGCAAGTTATGGAGTCCTTTTAATTATAGGGCTTATTAATTTGGGAGAACAGGAAAATGAACCATTGGAGAAGATGTATAAGAAAAACATCCTTTTGAGAGCAAAGAGAGTAGAGGGGGAGACACCCCTAAATAACATATTGTAGTGTTCTTCAGACTCTGTGTTGTTAGATGGAGTTAAAATGCCTTGTCCATCCAACTAGTTTTAGAGGAGCTGTGTACAATACAGCAAGTAAGATTGGTGATAGGGGAAAGTGAAATGTGCTGGATAATTCAGTAGACATCTCTTAAAATACAATATGGGAAGAAAATTAGATGGGCAAGCAGCCATGCCTTGGTACCATTAGTTTTAAATCCCATTATGAGCTCCCTGGGTTCTCTGGGCCTTTTCTACTTAGAATTAGTGTTTTGCTAGTTCGTTTTCTGTGACCACAAAAATAACATATGTAAATATTGTGTTTAGTTACCAGAACACGCAATTAATTATGGTCTCCTACCTTTTTTCCAGTTTAACATTTTGCAATTAAAATTTTAAAAAGCAATTTAGAAACGGAGTAGATTTTAATGCTATGGTCTGAGTTTATATCTTATAATCAAATTATGTATATACTAATACTAGAGAAAATGAAATAATCCCTGTTGTGTTGGAAAAATTGAAGTATGTCTATGATATCACAAGAATTTCCCTTTAAGTGAGTAAAGCTGTGAATATAATATCAGTGGAAAGTGTCTCATACAAAATTTTAAACAAGACAATTTAGGACATAAATTTACAACATAAACAGAACATATAAATAATGTTTCATATTAAGTAAACAAACTAAAAGTTTGCATATATCTTAAAACTTTTACATTTTTCTATACTAAGCAATACTTTCTGACATAATATGTCAGGAAATAAATCAGATTTGTAGTGTTTTGAAGTGTATTTTGTTGCTTTGCATAGAAGAACTTATACAAAGTTTCAGTAAGTGATACCTGAAAAATTTCTCATGTTCCTTTCTTGAGGGCTTTTTTTAAAATATCCAACTGTATTATGAACTATTGTGTATCTTGGGGGCTCATTAGGTTATCTCTGGGATAAAATAGCTTTCCCATATGGTGACAAATTGTGGTGCTTTCCTTAGCTTGAATTCTGTGCACCACCTGTGACATGATGGGTCTTTCCTTGAGGTGGATTACCGAGATACCAGATTGTTTGGTTCAGTGCAAATACCTTCCAGCTTCATTGGTCCATATCATTTGAAGGATGTGACTTCTGAATGTTTACAAGTATCAAAAATAGTGATACTGGCCTTACTTTGCTGTCATCTTACTTCATCCTGGATGGAATCTACTATCCAGTTTTCTGGACAGTAGCCCCATTAAATTCAATGATATTTGTTTTCAAGAAAACATGCATAGGTTTGCATTGCATTACTTTTTATATCAATAAATATATTCAGAATTGGATATAGAATAACTTTGGACATATTTAGAATATTAAAACAAAGGAATTGCTGTCATATAAAAAAACCATGTTATTCTGACTAACTCTGATATTCTGATCTTATCTTAATGGTAATATTACTCAGCTTTATCACTTTGATTGTTAATAGGCCTAACCATGCCACTGTGCTGAATTATCACACATACATAAAAAGAATAAAGAACAGATGAAGTATCATAAGACACAGAAAAAAGTACATATACACTAAAGAAGGGTGTATGTATATGTATATATATATTTAATTTATGCTATATGATTTTGTGACAGCTGTGACTGACCTCTTAACACTCAAGAGTCTTAATGATACACAATGAAAAACTGGGGCATAAATGTTTAAAAATAAAAAGCTCTTAAAATTTAGCATTAAATAGAAGAAATATTTTAGAAAATATGCAAATATTAGAGATAAGATTTTAATTTGTGTAAAGTTATGAAAGTATAGTGAATTAAGTTAAATGAACACAGTGAATGATTTTTAGATACCTTTATTGATTTCTGGAGGAAATAATAACATTGTAAATTAACATGACAAAAAATGCAAGCATTGGGAAGTAATACACAAATATGATTCTTTTCTACTTTCTGGTAGTTTTGGGTACTAAGAGGTGAACAGTGGAATGCCATAAATAACTTCTTGCTGTTCAAGAGTAAAGAAACAGAATTAATTCATCCACTCTTAAATTAGCATTTAATACAAACTCGTATTTCCTTTAATAGGGCTGTCTCAGGCCTTCAACGTATTTGGTAACCATATTCCTTATTTGCTTAAAATAACACCTTTGTTTCTAGAACACTACTTGTGTAGTGCATAGTACATAGTTGCTTTGGAATTTGTAGTAACTGGCTATTTTAAACTGTTATATAAGAAAGCAAAAATAAATAGCAAAAATGTGAAAACACTTATAGTACAAAACTGATATTTTTATAATAACTATGTTTAAATGACATTTAATTTGAAGAAATGAGCCCATTATTAAATTTCTTTCATTTTAAATATTAATATTAGAGTTTATTAAGATTAGAGTTTCAGACTTAGAATAAAATAGCTTCTTTGATAGCACATTAATATGTATGCACATTGTATAACTTGTTTAACAGCAAAACAAAAAACGAAACCTCTACTAGCATTTTTGAAAACATTTTTAATAAAGTGAAATTGAAAAAAACTTGCTCAGGTTTTAAACACTGAAATTAATAGGAATTCATTCTAAAAATACCTAAGAAAACTGTAGCTATGTAAAGTGCTAGGTGTTCTGTATTCAGTCAGTAAAGTGTTAACTTTTAATTATATGTACATTTCATTCATTATTTAAAACTTTAAAATGAGTTCTTTTTTTAAATGATGTTTTTATTTGTATGCTTACATTCAAATGCTGTAATTATAGTTGTATGCAGGGTGGACTAGTTCCAACAATAGAAAACTGGAACGTGTCTTTGCCCTTTACTGTCTGTATCCAAACTCTAAGACCCATCTTGGAAAATACTGCTCTGGATGTTTTCTATTGAAGATCTTGAGCTTTCCATTACTCTCCCCAGGGTGGCATGTCTAGTGCCTATAACCTTTTTGACTTAAAGCAAAAACTTTTTGTGTTCCTGTTAATTCTAGTGTATTCATGTTTTGTATTTAATTTTGCCTTTCATTTTTTAAGGTAATATTATCACTAGTTTAGTTTGCCCTCTAACTGATTATTTAAGTGCTACTGTTTTAAGGCTTATAAATGTATTTTGTAAAGCTATTTTTGCTTTTGTTTGGAGTCATTTTATGCTATTTTCAATATGACTTTTTACATTGGTTTTAAATTATTTATATATACTATTTTAGGAACATTTCTAATCACAAACTGGAGAATGAATTCAGTTGAAATTAGTATGGTACAAATAGAACCTATCACAAGATGAGTACTGTGGTGCATGTCTGATTTACCCTTTGTTCCTGATTCAGTAAGTGCTAACAGCCTTGCTTCTGCGCACTGATCTTGCTGGTTGAATTGAAAATCTGGTTTTATGGTTGCAGTTTTGGAAATGGCAGTTTTATAAGTTTTCCTTTAGCCAGAAAGAACTTGTTTAAGAAAAGGGGTTCTGAAGAAATAGCTTGCTACATTAGAACTATGTGAAGGATTGCTTAAGTTGTGTTTTGTTGAATGCCCACCCTATCCCTTAAAAAAGATTTCTTTAGGAGAAATTGGTCTAGGAACTACAGAGGGCAGACAAATGATGTCACAGTATGATTGACATTATTATGACTTCTGCTGAATACCTATGCTCAGAAAACAGGTAAAAGTATAACTACATTTTTATCCCTTTAATGAGAGTAGGAAGCCAGTCAATCCATGCAGCTTTAGGCTGTTTTCATTTACTGACACACTAAACATAGCACGCTTGTGCAGAGTGGGCTTTAAAGCAATTTTTTTCATGGCCAGCTTATTGCAAGCAGCATACCCTCATTTGTAAAGCATTAAGTTAAGCTCACTATGTAAATAGAATACTCTTGACATTTTTAGATCTTTAGAACCTCAATAGCATCTCTTCTTACTGACTATGCAGTAGTCTGTATTAAATATGTAGTGTTCTGCCAAGAAACATTGATTTGAAGGCATGTTTTCTATGAAGGAATTCTAAGACAAATATCTGCCTTTTGAGAATGTGTTATGACTTTGCCCAAAGAGATTATGCACTATAATTTTTTCTTAGAAACTTCTTATTTGGTGTCTTTATCTGCCAAGTTATCATAGTCATTGTGACCTCAGTTCTGCTTCAGTGACAATCTTCTTAATCCATTTTCATTGCATTATACACTTGCTGCCAGCCAATCTGGGTTATGAAAACATGATCTGCACTTAATATAATCTCAATGATTAATTTTAGCCATATCCTATTATTTCTCTAGGATACAGTTATGGATATTGTTATATTTATCACTAGTTAAAGAATATATTTATCCATTTATTTACTAAATTTATCTGTCACATATATGCATCCTTCTTATTCCAGAAGGATTGACATTATGTGTGAAATAATTCTA